CAAAGTTGCAACCATTACATATCTGTTACACAAAAAAATCAAATTTGATTTTGCCATATGACGATGGGCAGATAAGAATGTTTAGGTAGATAGTACGAAGTTGATTAAGGTCCATCAATTTGGATAAACGAAATAAAATTTGGGATTAATTTTTCTTTGGATCAACGAAAATCAAATCATAGCTGTCCATTTCTTCTCTCAGTTAACTTACCCTTGTTTAAGTGGCTCAGGTTTTTCCTTGCGCCTTAATTTTCTAGACCCAAAAATAAACAAAAATCAAATAAGAAACAAGAACCCAATTGCTCTTGTGTTGAGAGTACAAAATCAGACATCAAAGCTTCTCTCTTCCATGGCGTCTATTTTCAGACCTTCAGTTTCACTTGATCTACTACGACCAAAGGTAAACGACCGACCAAACTCCTTTGTTTTCGAAATTCTAGGGTTTTGTGTTCTTTTTAGTCTTCAAGAAATTGAGATTGTGTTGGGTATCATTCAAAATCGATAATTTTTGGTTTTTTTGATTAACGAAGAATCGTTTTGGTATCTGGAAGGTTACTTGCACGCATCTCTCTACGTATGAGCGATTTGAGTTTCAGAAGAAGAGTTTGAGGAAAGAAAGGCTAAATGTTAGGTTCAATGGCTTCAAGGCTAATACAGCTCAAGGATCAATTGAAGGGATTAGTGTGGTACAAGAGAAGGAGATTAACAACAAAACCGGTAATTAAACCGATTTAAAGACACAACCTGATGATCAGTATTTGTTTTTGATTGTCTTCTAACCAATATGTCACCTTTAAGCTCATCGGGTTAAACCGGTTTTTGATTGTTGATTCTAGATTATGGAGTTGTTGGGGTTCACCATGTGGGTCTGCTCTGCGAAAACTTAGAACGGTCACTCGAATTTTACCAGAACATTTTAGGTCTTGAGATCAATGAGGCAAGGCCACATGATAAGCTTCCATATAGAGGAGCATGGTTATGGGTAGGTTCAGAGATGATTCATCTTATGGAGCTTCCAAATCCAGACCCATTAACAGGTAGACCTGAACACGGAGGCCGGGATCGACATGCCTGTATCGCAATCCGTGATGTTTCATCTCTGAAAGATATCCTGGACAAAGCTGGTAGTATATAAGAATGCATTTTGCTGCTTCTTTCTTGTTTTTTTTCTCTCTTGCATATTAGATGTTTTATGTTTTGGTTCTAAAAGAAGATTTATTGTTTTTTCGGTAGGGATTAAGTATACGATGAGCAAGTCAGGGAGGCCTGCGATATTCACTCGTGATCCAGACGCAAACGCTCTTGAGTTTACTCAAGTTTGATTCTTTGAG